GAGAGAGAGAGAGAGAGAGAGAGAGAGAGAGAGACGCATTGACGCTCAGCGGTGAAATATTAATGCGAACGTCGGTGTTGAGCTGCAGGGAGGAACATTATAGAGTTTTGCCTCTAGTTTTGTAAAAACATCCCAGCGAAAAGGAACAATAAGCTCGCTGCGAATGACAGTGCTAACTCTTCTACTCCCATTGACATTCAACTTGGCAGGCGAAATATTTATTTTTTGGCTTGCGGTGTTAGTGTGTGGCTTCTAAGATCCAAACTCTTGCGAATAATAGAAATTATATTTTTGTTGTTTCTGCTTAAATCTCAGGTTGGTTGGTTGGCAGGTGCTCTTGTGTGGTTTGCTCTTTTTCCCCCGTCAAACATAATTTATCGTCCTTATCTCTCCTCCTCCTTTTTTGTTTGTTACATTTTTGTAACATCTCTTATCTTGGACTCTTATATTAATACTAGCCGGGTACCCGTTCGATGAACGGACTAAAAAAGAATCGATCGTCAAGTCATTGTTGAAACAGAGCGCACTGCTTGTGAACGGAAGCCTCACTTATATACAATGGCGTCTTAGAAGAGGGACTTTCCCAAGGTTAGATCTGAACGAAACTAATGAAAAACCGAAAATTAAACTACAGTGACTTCAGACTCATTAATATAACTGTGCACCCTTTGAATGATTCTGAACAACCATTAATTTTGTCAAATTCGAAAGTTAAGTGGTTCGGAAGTTTTAAGCGGCCAAAGTAACGAACTTTCACTAATATACAAAGTATAGATAGATAGATGACCTTATTTCGTTGCGAGTGCCGTAAAACTTTTATTAACAATTAAAGTCTCAGGTTTACATAGCACAAAAATTTGGTACAGCATATATTTTTTAAAATGTTAAAATCCTTGTCTATTCGTTCTAGTGAATATACCGTAATTGAAATTCAGGCTAAGCTCGGTATCAAATTTTGTAAACTGGTTTAGCTTTTGATGTAAGTTGTTGTTGGTCCTGGAGTGCTACTTGCCATGTCTCTGCCAATAGATATTTTCAGAGTAGCTGTCACCAACTTTGTCTGTTTAGAGCAATTCCCGCTAAGCTGCTTTTCTCGTCAACAGTGTTTGTGGGAATCTCTGGGATCAAAGAGTTATTACCTTTACAACTGACGTGAATTTGTCTCTTTGTGGAGAGAGAGAGAGAGAGAGAGAGAGAGAGAGAGAGAGAGAGAGAGAGAGAGAGAGAGAGAGAGAGAGAAGAATAGAATCTTTTTTGGGGGGGGAGGGGCTTGGTAAGTGTTTTACGGCGCTCGCTACTGCATAAGGTCATATGAGCGGGCAGGACACATTAAACATATTCAGTTGGTAGGAAAATTTGAATTTTGCACGGGTGGCGGCCAAAGCCTACTCTTAATCTTATCGATTTTGGACCCCAAGGGATCTTTAACGTGCACAACCTGCACACGGTACCTCCGAGATTTTTCGTCATCTTCCGAGAATGCTAGGTGTAGGTCTTTCCTACCAGCAGTAAGAAAGAGCCATTGCAGGGAGTAGCAGTAGAAAGGCTGCAGAAAGAGTCAGGAGCCCCGAAGAGGGGGCAAAGGAGATGAAGGGGTGGTGGCAGAAAGTGGAGGCGACAGAACATTGCTAGAGAGAAGGAAAGGAAAAGAAAGGAGACAATTTAGAGAAGAAATATTTCCGTTGCTATCCGGATTCGAACCCGGGACCTATGAATGAGAGGCGAACACCTTAACCTCTAGGCCACGAGAGCCTCCGTTGTCTGTCTGACTTGCTCTTTCCCGACACAGAATGGTCGTTATCTATTGACTCAACCTTAAACTAAATCAGTCTTCAACATATCTCATGTTACGGGAGCATGTATTCCGATAAGAAGACACAAACGTTTGGTACCAATTAACCACTTTGGTACCCATTTAACCATATCCGTAAGCCCTGGGGTCAATTTGTACCCCCAGGGTTGTATTCTCCACATTTTAGAATGTTTCTAGTTTGAA